TCCTTTCAACCCTCAGAGCAGAGGACCCCCTCCAGTTATCCTGAGATCTGGTTTCAAAGGATTGAAAACAAAAACAACTGCTCTCCTCCTGATTAGTTTCTTCCTTACTTTTTTCCTAAGCCCTGCCCTTGCGCTTAGAAAGGCTCCCAGCGACACAATGACAACAAAGAAGCAGGTGAGCCTTCCCTCTGCTTCTCTTTCCACTTTCCCGTTCCTCCCATTCAGCAGAAGTATTCCATCTGCTTTCTGGGACTGGCACCAAGGCAGTATTCCTCCAGGGGCAGAGGGGCAGGCTGTGCCCAGCACCAGATGCACAGCTGGCTGTGATGCCCTGCCAGTACACTGGGGACATATGAACGTGGTGTGCAGCAGCAGCAGGGAAAGATTATGCACACATTTCACTTGTTATGCAGTGAGGTTGGAGGTAGAACACATTAAGGCAGACATCAAAGCAACAGCTATCCTGATGGTGCAGGAAAGCCCAGCCCCAACGTGCCCGTATGCTGTGGTACAAACAGAAAGCAGAGATTGGAGGGCGCTGATAAAGTTTTCCTCACGACATTTCCTCCTCAAAGGAAATACAGCATGTGCTTGCAAGGCACCGGGATGGAATGAGCACACAGAAGCCCATTTTCATTTGTGCTACATGTTACCAATGGATATTAGCAAGCGTAACAGTAGAGTTGACAGTTCTTCTTCCAATCCACATATTAGGTACAGTATCAAGTGACAGCAGCAGCAAAGAATACAACTACAAAGTATTTATGCTGATCTAGAATAACCCACACAAAAAACAAGCAGGTGAGCAGAACATGTCTACTGACAGAGATTTTTCAGTCACAGAATTGTAGGTGCTGCAAGGGACCTCTAGAGATGATCCAGTTCAACCTCCTGCAAAGCAGACTCCCTAGGCCAGGTTGCACAGGTAGGCGTCCAGACAGGTCCTGAATGTCTCCAGAGAAGGAGATTCCACAACCTCTCCAGTCAGCTCCATCACCCACACTGTGAAATTCTTACACACATTTGTGTGAAACTTCCTATACTTCTGATTGTGACCATTTCCCCTCATCTTTTGGTCATGCGCTGCTGAAATAAGTCTGGCATCGTTCCTTTGCCTTCCACACTTTAGGTGTTTATAGGCATCAATCAAATCCCCTCTCAGTCTTCTTATCTCAAGGCTGAACAGACCCAGTTCACTCAGCCTTTCCTCGCATGGGAGATGCTCCAGGCCCTTTCAAATCTTTGTGGCCTTTTGCTGGACTCTTTCCAGGAGATCCCTTCCTGCTTTGTACCAGGGAGCCCAGAACTGGACGCAGTACTCCAGATGAGGCCTCACCAGGGCAGAGGAGAAGGGGAGGATCACCTCCCTTGACCTGCTGGCCACGCTCTTTTTAGTGCACCCCAGGATCCCATTGGTCTTCTTGGCCACAAGGGCACACTGCTGGCTCATGGCCAACCTGTCGTCCACAGGAACATCCAGGTCCTTCTCTGCAGAGCTCCTCTCCAGCAGGTCAGCCCCCAGCCTGTACTGGTGCATGCTGTTATCCATCCCTAGGTGCAAGACTCTACGCTTGCTTTTGTCAAGCCTCGTCTGGCTCCTCACGGCCCAACAAATTCTTCAACAAATTTTCTCCTGCACTGCTCAAAGACAAGTCACAGAAACAGATCCAAAGAAAATAAGCCAAATATTTCAGCTAACATAGGGCACTTGTGTACCAAAAAGCCTTGTTTCTTTGGTAAGCACCCGCAGCCTGCTGGAAGTGTGATCTCTGTCAGTCACACATCAAAGCACTTCAATCACAGATTCTAGAAAGACACAAATTTTACTTCAAGTACCTCAGATGCTCCCACCACCCTGCACTTAGGCTTCATTGGTAGTCTTCACTTTGTTCTCAGTATCATTTTTTTCAAATGCATGACGGCAACAAAGTGAAGACTGAGAAGCTGAATGATATTTTCAAGAATTAGCCAAGTCTACAAGATTCTTAAGCTGTTAACATACTTGTCCCTTGGGCACACACAAAAACACTACTCCTGTGACCTCACATACCCAACCGAAATCAAAACAGAACACGCCAAAGAAATATCACAGCCAGAAGCTACAACACTGGTTCCTTTTCCTGCCCATCAACAGCAACTAAACTAGGATGAAGAGCAGTCAAATTTCTGAAACTGATGTCATATCAATTGGAAAATTGACTGAGCCCACACCACAAGCAGTAATTGCTCTCTATTCAATTTACTGGCCCAAGCTGCCCGTTTCCCATCTGCTCCTACACAGTTAAAGTAATTCTGATCTTTGTTCTTCGTTCCTGAAAGTGTCACAGACTTATAAGTGTGTCAGAGGCCAATTCTTTACATTCTCTACTATGATAAGCTATTATGAAGAGTGAAAATTCTGCATCTGTAATTGCCAAGCCAGGCAAATTCAAGGAGGACAACCTGAACCCGCCACGTAAAATTCATAAGGTAACATAGCACACACCTTCATGTGCAGAAAACGAGGTCATCACGTTCGCTCCTTGCCTTGTATGAAGACAGGCTTAATACACAGTACAAACTGCTACCAAATTGTGTGATTTGCTGTTGGTTTTGAGGAATATATAGAGGCCCACTGAACACCTTATGCTCCTGCTCAGCACCCCCTGGGCTCCTTAGAAGCAGATAAGAGTCATCTCAGTCTTGGAATGGATTTCAGGAACGAAAAGGACAGAATCTCACCAACTACAGAATTCTGGGACACGACGGCTCAGCTGTAAATCAAATATCAGATCATCAGATATTCCAGTAGTATCTCAGCATTTTTTCGTAAGATAAAAAGCTATTCCAAACACAGTTTAGAGTTTGTGGGTTTTGTTACTTAAACAACATATTTATGCTATCTAAAGTCACAGCTCTTCACGCTCTCACTGAACGACAGCGTTCTCATTCTAAGATGACAGCAGATGAAGTACTGTAAATGAAAACCAAGACCCTACATGACAGAAAATAAATCTTTGCTCCAAATTTTAGATCTCATGAAGTGCCCCGTAAAACACACTGCAACTAAATATTATGTTTTAATGCATGACTAATCCCTACCAACGTAGTCTGTGGTATCTTGAGTTACTGTATCTTAGGTTACCCAAAGCATCACTTTGACAGTGATCAAAATGCCTGCTGATAGCACAAACACAAATGCTACATACATACAATAATAGGTCATCTACAGTAATTAACTACATACATAGCACAGACTGCACTAAAACATAATTGGTATACACCATACAACAGATGGATGGTGCTTCCAATCTCACTAACATACCTCGCTTCCACTGGACATACAACAGTTAAATACACGTGGAAACACACAGGATGTTATGGAGACTTTAATTACTTATCTTTCTTCAAATAAATTCCCTGCCAAGTTGCAAAATAATTCTCTGAAATACTGTTAAATAAAAGTTAGAAAACTGGGAAACACAAAGGAAAACACTAATGTGTTCCGACTTTGCAAAAGGGCAAATAGTAACATGATGAGATAATGAAATGACAGATACAAATTTTAGTCAATGACTTTAATACAGACACAGAACTCCTGAGAAGAAACACAGTTTCACAGAATACATTTTTATTTATTAATTTATTTAATTTTGTAAGATTAAAAGATTGTGGATAAGAGTAACTGTGCCGTCTCTAACAGCTTCCTGGAGAGCTGTGACTTAGTGCTCTCTGTCTCTGAGGAAAAGAGCCTTATTTATACGAATAATGCGCATACTAAATCGATTACAAATAGGTTAACGATCTCTAAATGCACCTACAATGCAGCCTCATCACAGGTTTGTTTTCTACTCCAGCGCCACTCATGTTCATCACTACTCCTAAGAAGAGGACAACCAGCACAGTTTGCCACTGCTGACCATTTCACCAACTTCTGAGTCATTCGCAATGACCAGAAAAAGCCAAACAATGTGAGTGCAGTTGTGCAACATGCATTTTAATTGAAAAGCAAGACAGCACATCTAGAAAGAAGACACGACAAACACAGAGTAAGGGGCTGTACTGCTCCACAGCTTTGGCGGAGAGGCACTTGACAGGTGCCTCTTTGAAATGCCGTGCTGCTTCACTACCCAGCTGTGTACTTCAGAAACAGGGTCTGCTGAGCGGAACGTCTCTCTCCCTTGCAAGCAAAGAGCTTGCAGACTTCAAAAACAGTTTTGAAGTGACTGCTACCTTGGTATCGAGTTCAAATTAAAATCAGCAACAAAAACGATGGGTGAGTAAGGCTAAATTCCAGTTCTCTGCCTCATGGGATTCTAAATCGGCAGATGCAGCAGAGGGTGGTATTAATTCATATACGGACAAAGAACCCGACTGTCGGCTCAGAGTTTTTCGAGTTCCACTGCAGGCAAAGGCTCCCAGCCGGACACAGAACGAGCAGGTCCAGCCTCGGAGCGCTGCTGCAAGCTGCGTGCGTCACCCTGCTTTCCCAGAGCGCCGTGCCCACGGCGGGCCGCACTCCAACACACACCAACGGACAGCGCGCACAGCAATCCGCACGCTGCTCGCACCACAGCCTCAGACGCACGCAGACCGGCGGGCCGAACCCCGCCCCGCCCCGCCCGCCATCCGGACGGCCGCAGGGATACGGCCCGCTTCTGCGCGCGGCACTACGGCCACCCCGCCCGACCCTCCCCGGCCCGCGGGACGAACTCGGAGCCGCCCGGTTCTCTCGGCCGATCCGCACGGCCCGGCCCCATGGCCGCAGCGGCTCCGCGGCTCCCGGCCCGCGCTCCGCGTCCCCGCGCCGCCACCGCGAGCGGCGCTCCCCGCCCGGCCCCAGCGGCTCCCCGGGGCGACGCGGCGCTCCTCCCTTCGCCGCTCGCCTGCCCACCCCACCCGCGTCCGCCCGTCAGCCCCTTCCTCCGCTCCCCCGAGCCTTTCCTCTCCCCCTGTCTCCTCCCACCCCCCTCCCCGTCCCGAGGTAACTCCCAGGAAACGCGCGGACCCGCGATTCTTACCTTCTTTGGCTTTTTTCCTCCTCGCCAGCGTGCCGCCGAGCTTGCCCAGGAAGGAGTCATCCTTTTTTCTGGACGGGGGCGATTTCGGGGTGGGAGATTTGGGGGAAGAAGGGGACTTCTGGGGGGACGATGCCATGGCGGCCGGGCCGGCGCTCGGGGATGGAGGAGGCGGCTGCGAGGCCCCGGAGCCGTGGGAGGCCGCTCCCGGCTCTGAACGGAAGCGGAATTATTCCAGGCATTTGAGGCAGCTCCGCTCCGCTCTCCCGCTCCTGCCCTGCCTCCCGCCCGCCCTCCGCCACGCGCCTCCGCCGGCGGCTGCGCCCCTCCGCCCTCACCTGTCCCGCCGGGGGACGGCCTTCCCGCCCCGCCACCGCTCGCGCCTTCTTGCGGCTCGGCTCACCTCGGGCTCCGGCGAGGGCCGACCCGCTCGGCAAAAAGCCTCGCCGCACCGCAAGTCGGGTGCGGGCGGAGGCGCAGCTTTGGCACGGGAAAGGCGCAGCCCGGCAGCCCGAGCGGGGCTGGGCCTCGGGGCGGAGCGGCAGGGCGCCGACCGCCGGAGCTGAGGGCCACTCGGTCGGAGTCGTGGGAACTCGCCGGTACCTGCTCGCACGTGGCGGCTCTGGAGGGGTGGGCGCTGCAGGCAGGTGTTTCTGCACTCTGATCAGCTGCCCAAGTGACTGTGCCGCTCGATAGCTTCGTGCAGGCTGCAGGCATGCACGCGTCTCCCTGGAGCACGCTTTGCTAAGCAGCCCGTGGGTTACCGCCAGTGTGAGGGAGGCGGGCATGGCGATGTCTGTTTCAACAGAAAAAATACAACCGCTATAGAAAACGGGGGCGAAGAAAGGTGACATAGCCCGTACTAATCCTCCTTTGATTAGCAGATGAGTAGCCTAAGAGAGAAGCCTCTTTGAAGCAGCTGAGGTGCTGCGGCTCGGGAGCTGGTGCGGGAGGCACCCGGGGCAGCGGTGTGTCAGCTGGAGGCACCGCTTTCACTCCCCACTTAATCGCTCGATTAACAATTCAGGCAAAAAGCCACACACGCTTCATGCAAATACCTAGCTATCCATTAGGCGTAATAAGTGAAATGAAATTACCGCGAGGATATTTCTAAATCAGCTAATAATCGTTGTGTTTTCACAAGCTGGTGGCATCGGTTAGCTGACATCAATGAGTATTTGTTGTGTGCAGTTAGTATATGCCCTGGGGAAAAGCTTTATTCATCCAACTGCCATCAGTTAAAAGCATAACGAGCCCAGGCTGCCACCACTGCTCCGCACGTCCTGGGGTTTGCTCTCTAGCTCAAAGCAACACTTGTGTTCCCTGGACTGTTGCCTGCAGGTTGTTTTGAAAAGTTTTTCCATTTATGATGATTCTTTTTGAGTACAGTTACAACATTCATTTTTTTTTCTGTACCCTAAAGTCAGAACTAGATATGCTACTTTCTTTTTTTTTTTTTTTTCCTTTTTTTTCTTTTTTGATCTGGGAACATATAGAGAAGTATGACTTTAATACTGCATTCGGCTGAAAGGATCTTACAGACATGCATAAGGCCTAGCTTATGGCAGACACAGGAATGCTGCTTTGAAATGCTGAGTTCATATGCAAGTAGTATTTTAACCACAAAGCAAAGCTGCGGTGATATGAACTTGCTGTGGATTTTCATTTGGCTTGGCTTTTGCTCTGCTTCAGATTTGATAAGTGAATGCTTTCACAACCATGCTCCCTGATCCCACCCACAGGACACAACAGCAGCAGGCTGCCATTTGGGCTGCCCCACTACATCTGGCACAGAGAAACCTGGAGCAAACCACGAGGGCTCTCACCATGCTCCCTGTCAGCACCTTGTTCAAACTGGTGAGCCGACTCAAATTAATTGTAGCCTCATCATATAGATGCTATTGCCAGGTAATAAAGGGTGGTTACATCACCACATTTCAAGTGCATTTTTATTCACCTGCATATCCATCCATGCACACCTGTTTTTTGTTGGTTGGTTGTTTTTTTTTTTTTAAATTTCTTTTACTACAGGACTCATGAATGATTGGGAACAGACTCTTGCTTCTGATTGAGGTAGAAGAGATATAATACAAAATATAACCACTGTGGGGTAGGCTATTGAGAAGGAGCACTGCAGCAGCTGAAAGGATGCCATATACTTACCATCTGAGATGGCTGACTCCCGGGATAGAGGTCAGCTCTGATGTTCTATCTAGTTTTTCAAAGTACTCTTGCTAATTATTATTATTATTATTATTATTATTTTAAACACGCAGGCTTAAAGCCAAGCTGGTTAAGGCCATACAATAAGTTATTCCTTTGTCTCTAAGTTCAGTGTTTGTCTCTAAGTGTACCTTTGCATGAGCCTTTTTATCAGATTGGTCACTTAAACCGTGGAAGACAAGTTTTCAAAAATGCTCCAGTGACCTACTGTTATTGCAGTAACTGCTTACAGCAGATCTTTTCGCTGACTTCATGAGGAACAGAACTAGACCCAAGTTTACCCTTGTCATTTCTCCACACATTTGCCCTCAGCCATCTGACTGCCAGTTCTGCATAGTTAGCTACTGAACGTGCCCTCCCCCATGCCTCCCCACCCAGTAATATTCAAAAGCACAGTAAAAGAGGCTGTTTAGAAATCTAACAAAAGATTATGTATTGTGTACAGCTACAGAGATTAAATATTTTAGAAGTTTCAAAGAGAAACGTCACTCTGATGCAAATATTGTTCTGGTACTTGATGCTTCTGGCCACATGTACTTCAGTCAATTTGTCATCTGTGAGTGCATGGCCAAATGTAGATGCATTTGCATTTGACCATGTTGAGACTGTTTTAGGAAAAATCAACATCAGGAATCTTTCTTAATAAGCATCACTTGTGCTTTTCACTTGAGCCCATGATTTTGTGCATCTGTTACATCAGCATTCCAGCAAGCACATTGCTGGCATGCAGGGCCACTAGACTTCTTTCAGTGTTTCACTGAAAGCAGCAGAAGAAACTATCTGAAAAGAACCCCATGGTTTGTTCATAGATGTTAGGGGCATAATGATTTAGGTGAAATCCAGTTTGCACTTTCTATATCACAAGGTATTTGCCAGGTTCATGAGGTATGGCTGCCATGAAGATTGCGGGGATTGTTTTCACATGCTGCCATGGTAAATCCATTGTGCTGGACTCTGCGAATAACCATACGGCCCATGCAGAACTCAGCAAAGACAGTTTTAGGCCTTAACAACAGCAAAACTTTGTAAGATACACATGACCTCCAACCTGCTAGGGCACATTCTGGTACGTGCTTACACGAGGAAGAAAACGGAGTATATCTTTCTGAAAAGAAAGTGCCAAACAAAAGTGAAATTCTTAGTGGAAATCACGTATGCCTTAGGCTAAAAAGCAGTTTCAAGGAATAAGTCCAAGTTCACTGCCTGTGCCCAGAGAAACCTAGCCAAACAGTATAAAAACCAGTAAGGCATTCCTTTACCTTGAGTGCAAACAGATTGATCTTGAGGCAAATAATAGCTTACAAAATCCATTCCCTGAAATCCTTGCCCAATTGGCTTTTTTTTTTTTTTTTTTTGCACACAGAATCTTTCGAAGATAGAGGAGCAAATAGGAGGGGAGCCTCAGTAAATTTGTTGGTGGCATTCCTCCCCACTGGGCTCAGCCAAACCCTCAATGTGGCCACCTGCTCCCTGAGAGGTGTTAAAAACAGATAAAAGTTTGATGTATTATTTCCAATGAACCCAGCAGGCAGGTAATTCCTGTGCAGTCCTGAGATATTGTGAGCAGTACAGTACAAGGAGTCACTACCACGCCTGTCTCTCAGGCATACAAAATGGAAACAGTAGAAGATAAAGCTCAGTTCAAGTGTGCCAGAAATTACCTTGACCTCAAAGGGAAGCTGCTGTTGTCCATCTGCCATCTGAAGAGGAGGAACCATCAAGCAGTTTAAAGCCACTGAGGCGGGAACGGCAGTGCAGATGCTAACATAAGCTCCAGTCTTGCTTCTCTCATCTTTTCTCTTATCATTGTCTTGCTCTGAAAGGCTTCCCCACTGGTAAAAAGCAACAAAATGAGATTACCTACTATAAGGAAAGTGATGGGAATTTGAAAATTGGCACTTAAGGTTTTGATCACCAATTCTTAGTGATCCACACGGACACTTTTCCATCAAGTCTTCTGGGAGCTGTTACAGTTTGTATGTCGTTGTGAAATTAGGAAATTAGGTTGTGAATTCCTGTGTAATAAAGTTGTTATCTCATGGATTTCACAACCTTGTGTATTAGAAGTAGAGTTGAATACCATCCAGCTTCAGGGTGTCATTATTTCTAAACAACTACAAAATGCAATGTGAACTGCAAGACAGGGTAATTTACTTCCCAGTATATGATTAAGAAACTGATACAATTTCTTACCCACTGATTTGTCCTAGAGATATATTATTATATTGTAGGTACCAGAGGAGAGAAATTACTATGGAAATGACTCACAAGCACTTCAGAGAATGAGATACAATTTTATTTATTCAAATACAAAATTGCTCACATCCAGTCCACTTAGACATGGCAATACATTCCAGCACATCACATTATACCCAACAACAATAGTGCCAAGGACTGAAAAAAAAAACAAAAAAAAAGAAAAAAAATACCCCAACAAATGCAGTTAATGAGTCAATTTACAGAAAAGACCAAGCAGTAAGAACACTCATAACAAAACATGTTGAAACAGATTTGTAATACATGCCAGCCACATTAAATTGACTTGCAAACAGAGCACATAGCTTATTTCTTCTGCCTCCTCTATTCACACAATACAAAGACTTTGCTTTAAATTGCTCAAGAATTTATTCTTTTCCTGCTTTGCCTGCCTAGTTTGTTTTTGGATCTAATCTTGAGAGGCACTCTAGTATCAGTAAGGGTAGCAGTAGCCTGCCAGGTTTTTCCACCCAAGAGTAGACATGTGGGACCACTGGTTGTGGATGGAGTGTGTTATCACTTCATGGCATGCACAAAAGTATCATTTCAGCAATGAATATCTGTACAGTCCATTACATGCTGATGGCTCTCAACTTCTGCTGCCCCTAATCTCTTGGCTCTCAATGACCAAACAAGTATCTGCTGTAAGGTGAAGTCTCGGGGCCTGTCTGCACCACAGAGTGACCTGAGCCCAGGCTCCTGCCCTGGGTGAGCAGGTCGGACTTTGGCAGAAGACCTGCTTCACATTCTTCTGGGGCTGCCCTTCCTCCTCCTCTTCCTTGTACGGAGGAGGACGAACAGGCTTTTAGTACAAATTAGACGAATAAATAATCACTGATTGATGTAACCAAGGGCGTCTGTGCGGAACTGCCTTTACTGTGCAAAGCATTAAGACAGTAAGTTTGCTGTAAAACTTGTAAAAAAAACAATAATCCACTGAAAATATTACAACTCTGTTTTCTACAGCAAACAATGACAGATGATCTAGACAGTATCACTCTACTGGACTACATGAGGCTTTGGGGAACAGTGATAAAATCCATACATTTTCTCCACAAAACTGGGAATGCCAGGAGTTTTCAACAGAGAAAATGAACATATTTATTACTGCTCTGCTTGTTTCTACTTTGTGTCAATCTAAAGTAATAGAGTGGTAAAATAAATCACTGCAGTCCATCTCAATGAAAATGTAACTTGAAGATCAAGGTGTGCTCAGCATATGAATGACAGAAAAAAATGGCCAATGGTATTTTTGGAATAAATTCAGGGATCCTGCTATGTCTTTCCACCAAAGTGAAAAACAAATTATCCTGTTAAAGCTCTACGTGTTATGTTGTAAGGGTATCCCACAGAGATATATATATATATATTTTAATCTTAATTTATACCTTATTACTAATAATTACCAAATTGATAAAGCTACCTAGTTTACCCTGCAGACCTGTAGGCATAAATAACTGTTAGAAATAAACTTATTTATGAAAATTGGAGACAACGTCTGAACTGTAAAATATAACATGACACTCTTATCCTCCTTACAGAGACTAATAAATAAGTATAAATAAATAAATATTGCATAACAGTAGTGTAGTTCTTGCAGCAAAGAGGTATTCTATGTATTTGTAGTCAACAGTGAATTTTTTTTTTTTTTAATTTTAAAAAGGATATTTTAGATTTCTTACAATACAGCAAAAACTGAAGATAACTCATAAATTATCGTACTAAGATCCACTGTATCTGTTACCCTACAGCTAGTTACCAAGAGGTTATTTAGCTTAATTGTCTCATAACAAGAATGCTTGTAGCTTTGGCTGTAAGAAGACAACTCTTGCAAGTAAGCACCAGTCATGAAATACTGAGAACATCAAAATCTTCCCAGTCAAAGTGTGAGGTAAAATGATGTTCAAGAAGAAACAGCCTTTTGGTCTCCTTGGTTTTTCAGTTTGAAAATAAGTGCATCATATGTACAAGTCTGAAATCTTACCAATCTTATATTGCAAAATTGCAGACTTAAGAAAGTACGTGAAGCTATCCTGAATATCAACAAGAATTTCTGCACATCTGCTATGCCATGACTACAGAAAGAAAAAAAAAAAGATAGCAGGCACTTCCTTTAAGCAAAAGATCTACATATACATTTTTTGAGCAGCAATATAAATGTAATTTAAATGTAATCACAACATTATCTATCAAACATTGCTATTGCAAAACTCAATAATTTTTGCAGCCCTTCTGAGGAATTACTTTAAGGGAGATCTGTCAGCTGCTACACCCTCATGATACTTCTTGAGATAAATCCTTTGAAGCAGGGGTGGAGAAGTATTTTATAATTATCATTCAGCATGCTTTAGAGAAGACCTTAATCAGTGACAGACAAAAGCTATTCTGAGTACCTAACAGTCTTAGGGGAGATACCCATTTGATGGCCCCTTACCATTTTACAAAACGTGGAGATATTTAACAGCTTGTTCAAAAACACACGGTGCTCTAAAACATAGGAATACCTAGGAAATTCATATCTGACCTTGTATTTACAATGGTTTTAATGAGTGCTTACGCATAGTTATCAGTCAAAAGACTTTTCTACCAGAAAAAAAAAAGAACTAACCTTATTTCTATAAGAGATGCTTGCTTTTGACCTTTAAATAGTTCATCATGGCTTCACTGTGCCAAAATATAAGCAAAACCACATAAAGAGTCAGACGAGCAGACAGAAAATAATGCCATCTCAAAAATACTATATGATATCATCCTTTTTCTTAATAACTCTATTTTCAGCAGTAAAATAACATTCCAAGGAAACACTGGAGTGCCAATTTCCCTTTCACAGGCTGCGGCGTCTCTCAGGTAAATCCATTCCATCTTTATTCTTGTGATTCTTGATGCTGACAGTGAAGTGATTCACATCAGTGTGAGCACAGAAGTTGTTTAAAAGCTCCTGATAACAGGATGACCTTATTCAAATAAACTGACTTCAAATGTGAATTACCTTAAATTTCAGAAGACAGTACCTCCATGATTACAAATATTGCTGGAATTACATTTGTTTGCACATGGCAGTTCAAATCCCACTCAGCTGACAGCCCCTTGATAATAGAATGCTTTCAAAGCACTGGTCTTCAGCTTGTTCTTTCACTCTCTGCTCCTCTAAGGCAGACACGAGTTTGTCCCTTTCTTCAACCACTTTCATCATCTCAATAAAAATTTCATCTTCCTCATTTAGATCCATCTCATTTTTAAGGCTATCTGAAAGACCACAAAACAAGAGGTCATAATCCAGATCATTTTGTTGCCATAATTTGCATTTTAACAGCTGTTGTACTTGGATTAAATATTACACTAAAATTAAGTCAATAGCAATTAATATTTTTCACGTTACAGTCCAGGGGAAATTTATCCTGCATTTAGGCCATTAGAAGTTGACCATTGAAGCCCCCAAAGTGTACAGTAGAACTTTTAGCAAAACTTAGGCTGTGAAATCAGTAGTAAGAATGCTACTTATTTACAAAAACTGTTCAAATGCTGCCTAAACATTATACCATAATTAAAATGCTGTATGGTAGGTAGCAGTTATTGTCACTAGGGTGTGAAATCTAACGTAACAGCATTTGTGCTGGACTTCAAGATTAGTTTATAAAACTCAAAATGCCCAGTCACAAAATGCAGAATCTGTAAGAAAATAAACTGTTTTTCAGAAAAAAAATGCTGAAAACTGTAGTCACTCATAGTCCACATGCTTAGAACCAACAGGATATTTTGGTGTATTCAGTGCCATGCATTTACCCATCTGCCTCTATTCATCATCCCCACACTCTTCTAATGCTGAATGAAAGGACAAATGCAAACTGTAGACCCAAGTACATAAAAGCAGTTCCAAAATACAATGGTAACCTGCAGCCCTGTAGCTGATATAACCTTGCAGAAGAGCACAGAAGGAAAAGTATAATCCTCTCTGCTTCTCAAAGCAAGTGGGTACTCAAATGGGCATAGTCTATGAATGTAGAATAGCATGTTCCCCACTTTCACTTACCATCAATGGCCATCTTCTCTCTCAGTTTTTGTTCCAATCTGCTTTGATGGTCCTCCAATTCTAATTCTTGGGCTCTGGGTACAATAAAATATACATAAAATAACAAAAATAAATAAATAAAGTCATACAAATATAAGCATTATTTCAATCAAGATTTCACGTATTCTGTTTATTCAGTATTTTCTCCTCAAGGGCAGTCAAGGCTAAAACTATTGCCTGTACACAACAATGACAGAAACAATGACAGAAGTTCTATTACCACCTTTTGCTTTATGCATTGGATTAAGCTCCTTCTTACAGTGCAGCACTCAGGGCTTTGACCAGCTATGTCAAAGCTTTTTGGTTGTACTCATATAATCATTCTGGACAACCTTGAGCCCTCCCACAAACAGAGTCCAGCCAGAATGAATAATGACTACTGCAGCTCTAAATGCCTTCCTGCATCATCCAGAGATAGTGGAGAAAATATCTGAGAGCCACTGACAGCTATCTGCTGAGCATGCTGCAGAGGGTGAGAGCTGAAGCAGCTACAGCCAACATTGTTTCCAGCAACTACAAACAGCAGCACAAGGCAGCTTTTATTGGCTTGGTGTATGTACTTGTTTCATCTCAGTACTGAATTCTTTGATTTTTTCTCTTGTGAGATACACTTGTCGGACTATTTCTCTTATACAAGAGAAAGTGCCTAAGTGTTCATTAGACCCATGTTGCATAAAGACAGAACATGTGTGCTGTAGCTTTTTTGAGTATCCTATAGGAATGAAATAAATTGAAGCACTGTGAGAAGGAAACAATGAGGAGGGCTCAACTGGAGGTCTGCATTCACAACAGCCTGTACTCTAAGTATGTTCATTCCATGACAGTTCAAAACTCCATCTCACAGCAACATGTTCAGATGTCCCATGAGTACAAGTTTCTGTCTCCCCTCCGCATCTTTTGCATTAGTGTTCATTCTTACTTACACAATCAAGAGCTCAGACTCGTAACGCATTAATTTATTCTTCTCCAGGACCAGTTCAAACCATTCATGAAGCAACTGAGTTTCATCCTGTGTGCCTGAAACTGTTGAAAATAGCAAATCTGAATATGCATTACTGGGCTTCCTTCCAATGCTCTTGCCACTTGAGGTCACTTTCAATAATCCTCATTGGTAAGGCTAGATGAGCCCCAAAGCAGATTTATTGTTCTTCTCTATGCAATTTACAGAGGTAATGTCCAGACATCACATATATAATACACCTGTTTATGGTTGTTTGAGTGCTGTAGTTTATTGCAGTTAAAGATGCGTTAGATTTACAAACATTGTTTGTTTGGAAATCAAGTTTTTCCTTTCAATGGATTTTTCTTTTTTCTCCCCCCAAATGGTCACTCGCTTTCTTTTAGTTCTGCCTTTGATAATTCTGCCTTCTTGGTTAATAGCAGACTTTGGATCTGTCTATATAGACAGATATCTGATAACATGATCAGATTAAGATGAATTTGCTGGCATGTATCACCCGAGTCCCTGCTTCCAGTGGGCAGCACAAGCACCATCAGGTTCCCTACATATTTTCATTCATTTGCCAACAGGCCTCTAAATCTGCATTTGCTTCAATTGTCAGGAAGGATTGTGGCACCAGAAAAATCTGTTACTCTGGGGTGGTTTTGTAACAATTGGAGTTAAGTCATTACTGGTTGACGCTGTGCATACATGTAAGAAGAGATGCTTATCTCCCAGAGAGTGCACAGACTGAGGCCATTTTACTAAAGAGCAGCACAGATTCCTCCTCTACCACTTAAGAGCCTTTACTGCTCTAAAACGTAGCCTGTAAAAAATCTTTGGCAAGGAAGAACCCCTGGAGTTCTCCAGTGGCAGGTCAGAGTGTGGGGCAGGGCATGTGCCCTTTCCTATGGCCCTCCCCAGACATCTACCTTCATATTCATCCAATCTTCCTGGAGTGAGCATTTGCTGCATTAGCAGGATATAATGATGAGAGGAGACGGTAAGTAACTTCCCTACCTGTGTTAATCAGAAATGGATTCCTGCTTAAACATTGCTCTCCTTTTCCTTTGCAAACCTATCTGCAAATGAGCAGGTAAGCTGATTTTACCAGCAGTATTCCTCAGTCAAGCCTGTCAAGAGAATATCTAAGTCCAATGACACTCCTAATCAAGCTGAGGCTATTCACCTTTCGAGAGGAATTTGTTTTATTTATTTTAGTTATTTATTTTTCTTGAGGTTCTTTTTAACATGCTCCTCACTTCCTGTTTTTCACCCTTTTTTCCCCCACAAAACAGAAGCACCCAGCCACCTTTCTACATGATCCCTGTGCTGATGAGGAACTACAGGCAGGCGCTGTCATCTCAGAGGGCCTGGGTCAGCTTGTGCGAGCATCACAAGTGTGTGGGCCCCTGTGCCAAGATCAGGAGTTGTGCCAGCTTGCACAGTGTTTGGTGATTTCACATTGGGATTTGACCCCAGTCTGAAGGTACCATGAAACAAGAGGATAAAGCAACAGGAAAGTGAAAAGTTGGCCTGATCTCTGCCCAACTCCATAAAAAACTGGCAGTAAAGGATGTGTTTCTACTGGGTCTTTCAGGTCAGCAAACGATGATAAAAATTTCTTAGAGTGACTGCCAGAGCAGTTCTTGTTGGGATGTGTTAATGGTAGCTTCTTACAGGTTCAACACAAGGTAGCAAGACAGATCTTTTTTTTAAAGGTTAGAGAATTTGTTTTGTTAGCCGTGATGGCTTTTTGTTATAGCATTGCTAAAGCAAAATTTTACTTCTGGTTTGCCCAAATCTACTGTAACCCATTTGATCCCATTTGAAAACTGGATATTCTTCTCATTACATCATAGCTATTTCAGCATTCATTGCTTTTGAGAGTAGGTTGTGGCTGCCTTTTACCATCAACCCTTTATCCACAAAGCAATGCTCTGTTGTCTGTGTGTTACACACAGAGGGGACCTGCAAGTTGCTCCTCCCTAAGAACTTCTAAACCTCGTATTCCTTAATCACAGAGGTTTTCAGCTGATTTCTTTTGACTTTGTTGGAAGTTCTGAGAAACCTTGGATAGATGCTTATGAAATCAAAAATGGTTCACACGTGCAGATGTTTGCTTACATTCCAAATCAGAGCTGGATTTTTTTTTCCATGTTCTGTCTACACAGATTTTCTTCTTTACCACCATTCCTCATGAATTCCTCATTTTTTAGTCAATTGATTGGCTATGCTAATTTCAGTGGAAAACGTGCTTGGGGATTTTTATTTCTGTATTTTCTTGTAGGCAAAAGATCTCTATAAGCCTCCACAAATGTCAGTGGAAAACAAAGCAGTGATACATTAATTATTTATTATTCGGTATTTAGAATCAGAATAAAGGGAATAAGGGCCATGAAAAAATACTCATAGGATTGATATTCTTTCTTTCTTTTTTTTTAAAAAAGCATGGATTGTCACTACAATTAGAAGATCATGAAAGCCTTATTTTGCTCATCAGTCTTCATGGCAGTTGTTTCACACCCACGCATGTTCTCTTCTAATTCAGCTGAGGAGCTAATGAATAACCCCAGCTAACAAAGGGGCCATTCATCCTCTGCCTACGGAATTATTAAAGGAGAGCTGCGTAAATGTCACTGAAGAACAGTGTTTGCAGGCCTGTCTCTAAATTTGGTTATTCACAACCTTTCCAGCTCAATATTATTGCTGAACCATGATCGTTTTCTAATCACCTTAATAATACCTATTAAACCACTTGAATTACATAAGCACAGACCTGCTTAAATACAACTTAACCTAATAAACACTGGTCATTCATTAAACAATAACGCCCATTATTTTTAAGAAGGTCGAATGGAACACTGAACTCACTGATTCCTGCATCATTACACATATGATTCAAGTGACAAAGCACTTACTTTTTGTTTGGGAAACTTACAGCTCCATGCTTTTGCACCAGAAGAGCTATTGAGAGACAGTAACATCCTACGTTTCAGTATCTGCCCTATTTGTAACTGGCCACCTACACGCAAACAATCAACAGGGAGAAAAAATGCTACTTTCACCTTAATGAGGGCAATCCAATTACTGAGGATGGGAAGAGAATGAGAAGCATCGATCTCTTGGCAGATAGCCTTCTTTAGGAAATGCGATTGTCAAAACAGCAAAACAAGAGGTAGCTCTAGGCCATCCATCCCAGTACTCTGCCTCTATCCCAAGAGCTAGAAATCTCTTGTTCCTCATATTTTTGATAGCTTCCAAGCCAGCCACTCTCATTGAAATCAGTAGTAAAGAACAAAGCTAATATAGCAGTCCTCACAGTCTTAGGAACGTTTCTCACAGATGAGAAACACTGGGTGCTATTTGATAAATTGTAGTGTTTTTGTTTAAGAAAAAGAAATGGTTTCTAGCCTTTTAAATAACATTTAAATAAATAAGAACTATCAGTTATAGGAAAGTTGCTAGTAAACATAAAATACTCTTATTAAACTGGACAGTTTGGTGTTAGAATAAGGGCAATAACTGCTAAGAAATATGGCATTAAAACATCTGGTGTGTAGAGATTTTGCTAGGTTTCCTAACTAAGATGACAAGGTCAGGTGCCAAAACATACCCAGTGCTGTGTAACTGCATGCCCCAAAACCTTGAGGTTCACCTTTCTAAAATAAAGATAAACAGATGCTTTCAATTGGGCTGTCTGCTCCCCAGAACCCTTTTGGCACAGAAATAAAGGCTCCCCTGAAGCCACTTACACACACAAATCTTTCCCTCATCCCCTTTTGTCCTGTCCCACCCTGCTGCAGAAGGCTTCCCCGGCTTCACCCTGCCAGTGCTGGGGAGCACTGGGAGAGCATCATGTTTCAGGACACTTGGCACTGTTGGTTCAGGCAAGTGAAAGCCTCATGCAGGATGATGCTCCTATTATCTTTCACCTATTTGGAGTGGTGGGGCTGCAGGCTGCTGTTGCTATATCATATATATATATATATATATATAATCAAACGAATATTACAATGCTCAGCTAAAGGGTGCTTGAGCTAACAGAGTTTGAGGAAAGGGGTAAACAAGGATTTCTCTCCTTCCATATTTCATTTAAAATTTTGTACTGAATTCTATGACAAAAATAAAAACTCTCTTCTTAAAACAAACAAACCAAAAAACAACAGAGAAAACAACTAAAACCCAAAACTATCAAGAACGAACACTCCTTCATTTACCGGATTCTCCTCTGAGTTCTCTCTCCAACTGAACACCAAAAACCTCCAGTGCTCTCTGTCTTTCCTCCAGTTCTTCTAGTTGGCGCTGGATTGCCTGCAAAATTGAAAGGATAGAAAATTTGCAGACGTAGCTTAAGAATTCAGAGACAAAAGGTAGCTTCAGTGGTTAGAGAAACAGTTTGAAGAGACTTCTGAGGAGTCACGGGATATGCAAAGTCATTACGTGTGTTTGGCGCCTAAGCAATTTAACAATTCCACCATCTGCACCAAAATGTGGCTAGATAAGAATCTCAGATACTGAAAGAACCCCAGTATACTGTGGGTATTTTCAGAGGTGCCTAATGGATAACGGACACAAAGCACCTTTATAAGACTGAAGTTTCCACTTCAGGCTGTGTTGGGGCATACCAAACCCAGCCCTCAGCAAACAAAAAGACAGTTCAAAATGTTTGGACTTGATTACTTCCATAAAGCAGTGAGAGGAAATAATATTACTTCGGGATCATTTACATCTGTCAAAATAAAAAGGATAACATAATTGTTCTTTTCTTTAGGTTAGAGACATGGATCCATCCAAAACCATCCACTTGTTATTGTAATACAACAGAGGATGACGTAGAACTCTGACTTCAACAAACACGATTGTTTTTCAGGGTCGGAATAAACTGAACTGACCTAGCATCAGCATTTAAAAAAATCAATTAATAAATTAAAAGGTTCACTTTCACCTCTAAGGCAGAGAGTACAAAATCCCTCGCTCTATTTTACCAGAGTCCTGGTAGTGTGCCAGGATAGCTGAGCTTCTTGCTTTCTCAGGGGATGACATTTCCTTTTTCTCTCTCTGTCCTTCAAAATCAATGTGTTCTAGTGCTATTGCCAGTCACTACTGCTCCTTTTCATGCACTTATGCATACTTACAAAGCTGTGACAATCTGCTGGGGCACACTTGGACTTGTCACACAGAGGTGTGAGCCCTGCCACATGAATCTTACTGCACCTGATACTTTGGGTGGATTTCAGTGTGGTAGTCAGTGGGCTACAGTGAAGAGCAAGGGTGCAGAGGAGATAATTTCCACCCCTGTCCTCGCCAAGCACTCCTGGGAGAAAAATGTCCATTTGTGAGCAACACTGTCACCTGTGCTTTATGAAGTCTCTTCAGCTCCTCTTGTTTAATCAATTGTTTTGTCTCCTTCTCCAGTTTTCTTCTCCTTCTAAGAGATCTTTTAGCCTGTAAAAGGGAAAAAAAACAACACCAACACAACAAACAATCAAAGTACAAGTATGCCACCAAATGCTTCCACAAGCCTTTCCCAGAATCACAGTATCACTAAGACTCAGAGAGGTCTCTGGAGATCGTCTAATCCAACCGCCCTGCACAGAGCAAAGTAAGACACTGCAAGTTGCTTGGGCACCCTCACCAAAATGAAAATACTGGTGTAGGGAATATCTTCAAGCACTTCCCTATATGAGCTTTGAAACTTTACACAGCCCTCTGCAACACTAAGCATGAAGTGTCTTTACCAATAGAAAGGTTCAAATGATAGGGAGGACTGTACACAAAGCAGCATTGCCTATGGCATGTGCAGACACTATGTACCTGAGGGAGAAGCCAGGCACAGGCAGTGAGAAGCACTGGAATAAGAAAACTCAACCCCACTGCTGGAGTAGAAAATTCAGTCTGAGGTGTGAATGCTGTCTCTGATGGTTCCAGTGAGTGTTATATGTAGAAACAGGTCTTTCAAAATCTAGCTGGTTTGATTGTAACTCACACCTGTGCAGTGCAATTGAAAGTGGGAAGAGAGCACACACTGCAAGGCTGCTGGGGAAATGCTTCACCTTGCTCATGGGCTAAGCTCTCTGGAAGTGCTTCAAGGCTGTGGTTTTCTCACTCAGGAGGAGACAGGATATATGGGCACAGTAGACAAGACTGCTGAAAAACTAACAGGCCAGGAAGCCACTAGCATTTTTTTTCACAAAGTTTTATCAGTGAAAAACAGTGGCACTGGCTAAACAGAGGTACTTGGAGGTAACTTAGAGACAAAGTGAGTTGGGGGACTTCCATGCTGCCTCACAGTGCCAAACTGTGGGTAGAGTGGGCAACAGTGGTACGAGGAAGAGAACTGAAAATGCTTATGTGCCATGAAGTATTTCATATCTGAATGTCTTCTCTTAAAAATGAACCGAAGGTGCTCTAGGATAACAAAAAGTTTAAACGCTGGTTGCTCCTACATTTGTTGATAACTTTTCCAAAATCTGCTCTGCTTCAGAGGGATTCTGCAATCTCAGTGCATCCTTATCCAGCATCACAGGTGAGATATGCAGCCAAACACTGTTGCACTTTGCTTTGCATTGCTTCCTCCAGAGCCGATCCTCTCCTTTGCCCTCGAAAGGCAACAAATGAAAGGGCCACCTTAAACTATAACTTCCACTTACTTATATTCTCTCTGCAGAAAAAAAAGTTTAGTGTTTATCTGATGAGCTAGTCAGGCAATAAAAGCTGCTTCTTCAGGTCAGAGTTGGGTATCAAGAGTTCACTGGTGATTTAAATCCATTGCTCCAGAAAGACACATGAGCTGTGTTAGGGCTGGGAGATGCCAGTGTACAGCACATCCTTTCCATGTATGTGGTCTGGGTGTGACTTTCCAGCTCATGTAGCCATGCTGATTAAAGTAAACACAGAGTTTTTCATGCAATCTGCCTGTACTGCCTCACAAATGAAGTTGTATTTCCCCACGGGAAATCTGCATCTGTTTGGTTTAATTTTTTCAATGGTTTGCTTGTCGGGCTACATATTAAAGCCACTTATGAATACTGCTTCAAAGTGGTTTCAGTTAAACATGTCTGTTTGTCCAATTAAGACCTTCTCCATCAACACTGGTGTAACCTGGGGGAATTACAGATTCAAGGAGGAGAAAAATTTTCATGTTCATCTGTCACAGTTTTAGTGTATTTTACATCCATGGCATGTAACCCTCGGTGATAAAATGTTCCAATCCCCATTTAAAGAAATCGTGGAGTGCTTTAGAACAAAGTCATATGAATCTTAAATATAGTCCAACTGAGGAAATGTATTTTTGCTTCAAAGAAAAGGTTACCTTATATGTTAATGAACGGTTGAATTCAAATTCATCTTCATCAGAGGAAGAAGTAAAATACTCCACAGTCTGTTTCCTGACAGGTGGAAGTTCACATCCTAAGTAGAGGGAACAAAGCCATTAAAGAGGCAAAAAATACCATTCTTTAACATATACAGACACTTTGCACCTGCCCCAGGTCCTAATCAGCAGCACCCAGAGCAATTTGGAAATTTGGCTCACTGCATTAATTGGATTTTGGTCACTGTCAAAAACCCTGCCTGGTATATCTTTTTTTTTTTTTTTTTTTAGGTATTGTAGACAAACAAATTAATTCCTTGAGCCTCTCCACGTAGCATGCTGTTCTGAATGCATTCAACATTCATTAAAATGCATATCTGAAGTTAGCCATATTACCCAAATGATTGTGTAAGGTTCGCTATACAGTGTAATTGAATGCAAAAAGTCTGAGCCAGCTCTTAAACAAATTACCCTTATGTGGCTTGTAGCATCTGGCACCCATTTTTACTACATGACATCTGCTCAGTGTAAAATAGTTGGCGTCAGAATGTCTGGTCATAGAAAAAAATCACAAATGTAATCAGAAGCAAATGGACTACGAGAACAAGGCTTTATCACACAGCCTCATGCAACATAAATATTTAATTAATTATGTCTAAACAAACGTCACTTATTTTTCTGCTTTAGGAATATTATCACATCATTGAACTGTTGATTAAAATGCCATAATAAGTCAGGAAAATCCATACATCACAACAATGCATTTCATAAGGAAAACTCAAAGGCTGCCTGTAGAGGAAGCACGCTTTCAGAATTACAAATTAAATTACATTTAATTGCAGCAATTTTATAATGCCTGCTTTCCCAGCATCTTGTTTCAACTGGGTGTAAATATTTGAATTTCTTCTTAATTTGTCTAATTCATAGCTTCATTCTCTTTATTTAAGAAAATAAAACTGCTTTTGGAACATCTGTCTCTACACTTCAACCTGCTATAGGGTTAATGATTAACAGCTGGGCAACATCTTGGAAACGTACCTTATTTAAAGCCAGCATTTATTTATTTATTTTTATCTGCCAGGTAACAGTTAGCTTTCTGTGTGCAAGTTGCATTCAGATTAAAATCACTTCCCACTCGCTAAGTGGGAATGCTTCTTCTTTCTTTTGCCTTCTCCTTCATCTCAGTCCTGAGATGGCATTTTTGTCTCAAACCCTGATTTAAAACCTGGAGCCAAGAAACATGTTCATCCCAGGAGGTAAAGCAATGAGAGCAAATCCAAGTAATTTGAGACAAAATTCTGATATTTCCCCCAAACATTTCATTTTTGGAAGCACCCAGTCCTTGCCTTCAGTGGAGCTGCAAGCTCAAAGGGTTTTTTGGCAGGCCTGCAGGGACAGCCAGCCTTGCCAGTGCAGGAGACAGAAGAAGGCATGGGCAGTACTGCATTCACTATTTCTTTTGAGGAGTTAATTCACCTATCTTGCATTTCTTTGTACAACCAAACTAGCACAGTAACTATCCTGCAGTCACACTGAGGGTGAAATCAATATATATCATAATATGCAATGGGCAAACCTTCTGGGGAGCCCCGGCAGTGCTGGCCATGCAAGCAATAATTATTTCTTCTCTCTGCTCTGGGAATAAGTGACGGCTTCTCCATGCTCTTCTCTTTGAGCAACATCAATAATTTAAGCAGTGTTACAAAGTCTAGAGAAAAAACAGATTGTTTTTTCTCTATATAAATATAGCAGAGGCACCCGCCTCTCCTCAGGTGTCTTTCTGGAACGGAGAGAGGATTGCTGACATCTCCAAGGACCTTCATCAAGGGTTATCTCATGAGCATGAGGACCTGGAATAAATTCATGTCCACAGCCTTGCCAATGCCTGTCAGCTAAGAGAGCCATGTGCTAGCACCTCGCTCTGCAGAGAAAAGCCATTTAAGCTGCTCCTAAACAGCTAAACAGCCTGTGAAGGGATGCTGCATCCTGAGTCTTGGGAGACAGTGGCCACCAGAAGCAGCTGCCAGGGAGTTCACCACCTGCAAAGTCTCCAGGAAGGTGAGCCCTGGGAACCCACTCATACATGTTGTCCCATAGCCTGAGTTGTGTGTGTTGGGTTATGGCTTCTGTCCCACGCACTGCACGCATGTTTCACATCACCGGAGCTCTCCACTAATACAACGTGGAAAACTGAAAACCTTGGTGCTCCAGAGAGATACCCCATAAACACACAGTGAATAGTGAAAAAACTGGAGTAAGGAAGGTGAGTTTTTGGCTCTCAGATGCATGGCACTGCCACATTTCAAGCTACAGAGTTAGTGAAACAGTGCCTTACTTCCAACAGTAAAGGGGCAGCCATTCTGTGTTCACCTCAACTATTTTTGCTTGGCTTCTTTGTTCCAGAAAAGAGCAGAAAAACATACTTGAAATTGTCCTGATTTCAACTTCAAGACAATAATAACGAGCATAGTAAGAAAATACTTCAGTGAACAAACTGCTTTATGCAGAACTAGAAAAAAATCATTCTAATTTTGAAGAAACCACTGTTCTGTATTACAGCATCTACCTATTCTACTATAGATGCCCGAGCATTAAGCTTTTCACTTGCCTTTTTTCCAGAGGGGTGGAATAGGCAGAATTTCGCTGCCAGCTGTGGGAATTTGGACCAGGAATTTCCAGATAATGTTCTACTTAGGGCATTTTACATTAATTGCTCATTTAAATTTGAAATTTAGAATTGGCGTAGTCAAATTAGATATAAGTAATTTCTCTCTTCAAATACATCAAGCCTTCAGGCTTGCTAGCCACTGAGAAGTTCTCAATGACATACATGTTTTCCAAATACTAACTCAGCTCTTCTTGTCTTTCTTTTTTCCTCCATTTCATTTCTTCAAAACAAGAGTTATTCTTCCCTTATTTCTGAAGAATTCAACCACCTACCTCCCTTCTAAATTAATCTATGTTATACTAGAGCTTTTCCTTCCCAGCTAACACGTCTTCGGATGGCCAAGAACAGTGAGCTATGTCTCATTATTCTTAATTCTTCATTAGAGGGGAAAGGAACAAACGTTTCTGAAATTTTAATTAAACCTTTCTCGCCTTATATTTAACAGCTACTAACAGGAGTGCCATCAAAAGACATTCCCAGCATGTCTAACATACAGCTGTCAAGTCACAGGGAAGTCACCATTAATTGTTACTATTATTAATTGTAATTGGTTCTAACAGCAACACAGAATACATCTCAGAGTAGAAAGCTGAAGAAAGTCTCCAGATCTTGATACTGGGATTTGACATCCTCATGTCTGCATGTTGTAAGACACAAGATGAACTATGTCTGTAAAGCTACAATTTCTTCTACAGCCAGTGCATTATAGCTTGGTAATCTAAGGGTGAGACCCAAAGATACTTTGTTCTGAAGGGCCCTGCGCTGGATGCCATCAGTAGGAAAACCCTCACTGCATTCAGTAGGAGCATCTGGACTCATGTACAGTACTTTTGCAAACCCCTCTCAATATCCAGGCTACTGGTTTTTCTGAAAACCTGAGGTTGTCTGGAGAGGGAAGTGTCATAAAGACACGTTGAGAAGTTTACAGCTTCAGTAGGAGGAGGAAGCCGAGTGCTGACTGTCCTGGAGATTTACAGAGGAAGACCCACTGCAGAAGTTATGCACATCACAGCTCACCTCTGCTTCCTGGAAGAATTCTGTGTCACACTAATGACAGTGGTTTAACTACACCAAAATTCTTGAAACAGGAACTATTTTTATAGCAGAATTTTTATAATGTTACATTAATCTGTTGGCTTCCTATGTAAATGTCCAGGATTTGCATATTTTTATAAGGTTACAGGAGCTAATCATGGCCCTTGAGTACATCAGTGTTTTACAGAAGAGAAAGGCAAAAGGACACATCTCTTAGGACACTGGTGTCCCAAGCCAGATAGGAATTTGCATCAGGTAGGAGATGAAAGAAAGGCAAGAAGAAATCAAGGGCGATTTGGCTCCAGACCTCTGCTTTTCCAGAGATTTTTCTTGGGATCTCAGACATGTAATTCAATCTTCTAGCATTCCCTAAAACATGAAATCACTGAAATAAGAGTGTCCTAGCTGACACAAATATTGCAAACATTTTCAGTTGTACAAAGATGCAATAATAGGAACTGTGCACAAGACTATTTGCAAATAATCCCCTTTCAATCTAAAAGTGCACAAAAATAGCAAAGTGAGTTCATAATATGTTTAATCTTTTTTTTTAATCAGTTGAACCAGTAATTCTGCTTAATTAAATCAGCTATGTAAACAACAAACAGCCATAAATTGAGTTGCAATAACTCTCATCTACTCTGAAGGATAATTCTAAAAATGTTTTCATGCAACTCCTACTCTAAACCCTGTATCTCACTGCAAACATATCTGACAGCTGGCTACTGCATACAGCCATCAGCAAGAGAAGGCAGATGCTATAGTAACTGCACCTCTATCATACAAACTGGCTTGTTTTGGTTCTCTCTAAGTTGTTTTGTTGTTGTTGTTTCTGTGGTATTAAAGATTTTTAATACCTATAAGTAAAACAGGTCTTTGGCTGTTACTTTTCTTTAAGTTTCAAAAGGGCAAGTGGGCTTAAAGGAGATCAGTTAGCCACCAGACTGACCGGTTTTATTGATCAAAGTAGAACACCTGGCTGTTTGGGGACACCTGTGTATTCAAATAGGATTTTTAAAAAAAAACAATTTCTCACTGAAATCAGTGCATGAATGCCCACTACTTTAGTAAGGAGAAATAACTCTTATAAAACAGCCAGAAAGCCTTTAAATCAGCTCTGGATAAGAAGCTGAGATTACTCATATGGAAGATGTAACTTCAGGAGTAAGCTTGAATGACAGGCAATCTGCTGCTGAGTAATTAAGATCTCTTTTTCATCATGCTGAGTTTCAGTTGGTGGCTGAACAGTTGGCAGGAGATGACAGAAGGTAGGAATACAGTTTTAGATTGGGCAGACATCTGGGTCTGAAATGCAGAAGTCAACAGCACACGGAAGACATCTGGACATGTATTTGCAGATGAAGTAACAGATAAGGCATAGGGAAAGATGAGCAACATAACATAGAAGTAATCGTGTGGAGTGGGACTGAAGGTCCTTCTCGTCTCTCTCCAACAGTGGATGTCTAAAACAGCACCATAAACACTGGGCAGTCGTGTGTGATTTGTCCCCTTAATAACTCACCCAGCCTTCAAGCACATTTTCAGTTCAGGAGCTCACTGAACTGAATGTGGTTTCTATACACTTGGTTAATCCTCAGTGGATTTCTCTTCAATGAGCTTCTCCAGTCTTATCTCAATCCCAGGGACTTTTATTACTCAGCTCATTCTTTGGCTCCACAACCAACATCCCATCGAGGGAGAAATCAGCAGAGAAATGAAAGACCAAGCACACTTGCACAGAACAAGACTGTCTGGCCCTGAATAAGACAGAAAAACACTACTGCAAAGAACCAAGAGGAATATAAGCCAAGTCTCATTAAAGTGTTCCTTGAAAGTTGCTGTACTTTTTTTTTCCTTTAAAGAAAATAGATTTTCTAAGATCAATGGTAAACTGTAAAAATAAAAATCAAGATTTGTAACATAGGCCAAAACTCATCAGCAGTTCATGACTGAAATTTGCCAAGCCTGGGCCTCAGACAAGTGCCAGTATGAGACAAGCTACATTTCAGAGTAGAGTGCTCTCTACTAATTTGACTTTCCCAAAGTATGAATGTTTGAAAAAGTTCAAGTGTCGAAATGTTGAAGATGCCAGATTACTGGGCAAATGGCTAGATCTCCAAGCTGCATCTTTTTCTTCTGAATAGAATTTGCAATGCTCATATTCAGTGACTAATAATTTAATAATTCCTCTTTTGGCTTGCACAGCAGAAGAATGCAGCACGTTATTAAATCATCACGTCTTCAAAAATTTTCAAATGCAAATAAAGTACAGTATTGTTCAAACCTAACAAGAATCTTTTCCATTCTTGTAGGAATTGAATGTATCAGTTGCTGTAATATATTTAGTTAAGAACAAGTCAACTTGGCTTAGACTACAGGTGATTACTTGGTATAGATTCAGAAAAAGCTTTTCATTTAAGACCATAGGGTGACAAGTGTGAATAGTACCAAAACTTTGTGGCCTCGGGGCAGCCCTTAGCATCCTCTGGCTTAATGGGAAAGTGTGGTTTTGCAAGTTGCTAGATAAGGAGGCTCAAGACTCTGATCTAAAAGTCCAGGAATGAGAGCCCAAGTTATTCTGTCAATTTCAGTGAGTATCACAAAGGGGTCTGGCAGCTCAAGGGGAACATTTCAGCAACTTCACATACGCTCCATTACTTGTACAAGTATTTTACATACAGATCGTTATTTTCATGCTGAATGTGGGTTACAATTTCATAAAATAAGGCACAAGTAAGAATGCCAATAAAATTCAACAGGTTATGGAGCTAGATAACTGCAGCCTTCTGTGGAGGGCTGTTGGAAAGATGGATTTTAGAAAAAGGCAGGTGTATCTCTCTTACCTCTTATATTTTACATTGTGTTGCACTTAATTCTTTCTCAGCCTACACTCAGATTACACCAGTTGTTCTTGGTCTGACATCAGTATTTCTTAACCTTATCTGCAGTTTCAATATTAAGCGTGCTCTTGCAAGCAAACTTGAAAATAGATGGCTTTAATAACTTGCAAATAGGTCATAGCAGGTCAGTAAGGTGCTATCTCCTCTCAAGAAAAGGAATGGGGGACATTAATGACATCACAACACTCCCAAAGCATGCCTACAGATTGGTCACTGTGACAGTAAGCAAGATTAAAGGGACATCTGCAGCAAAGCTTCTTATTGCAGCCCAATTGTTTCAGTGCCTGAGCTTCTCATGCAGAAGGTATCAAACATACTCCACATTGCACTCAGTGTCATGACAGCAACTGCTCTGCACACCATCCCATTCTGCTCTACTGCTCCTACTCCAGCATGCTTTCCTGTTTCAAATACATCTGAAGTAAGCAAACATGGGTCCAGCATGCTGTGCACTGCTTGCATATTCACCTTACTTCTGGCAACAGCTTTAAGCCAGAAGCAACTCCAAAACCTTAAGGAAGATTTATTAAGCCTTCTTACATAGATAGTAACTATAAAAGAAACATAAAACATGACAGCAGATCAACCGTATAAATGTTGAGTACTAGGAATGAATAATCCCACTCAGTTTCTCACCTGTGGAAGGATAATGTAGCCTGTCTTCTGCAGAATGGTCATTCATGAAAGGCAGAGATGACACGGAGAAATTCCCTTCTCTTTCACAAATCTTACTTCTTAGTCTCTCAAAGAGTGAAAGACTACCCTTCTGTGCAGAGTCATGCAGGCTGTCCTTAGGGGTGTTCCAGGGTTCCTGAGATGAAGCAAGAGGGTACTTTTCATTACAGATTAATACATCATCCTTGGGAGCCACTGAGGGAGTTTCATTAAAAGTAAACTTTTCTAGGAGTCCTGGGACATCCTCCATCCTAGTGCAAGTAGGTTTCTGAGGTATATTAGGGGTCTTGGAAGGCCTGCTGTGAGGACTGTAGACTGGGAAGGACACATCCTTAGTGTCACTTGGAGATCTCTCTTCAGAGCTGGCAGAAAACTTAGAAGCACTTGAGAGAAGGCTCCCACATCCTAAATGTTCTCCTGCCTGCTTCCTTACTTGAAGCTCCTGTAGCTGACTGTTACTTGCTCTGTTGTTGTTAGTGTTCTTATGGCCAAGAATACTAGGGAAGCTGAAAGAAGCTTGTTCTGAAGAGGCTTTGGTTTTGCTGTCCGAATCCTGCTTTAGTCCTTCTGGAGATGAAGTTAGAGGTTCCAAAATGGACCTCCTGATTGCATTGGCAATGAGCCTCAGTGGTGATTTTGGCTGGCCAGCTGAATGCTCCTTGGCAGTTTTGTCTGGACTCCTCAGAGCATCTTTCATGTCAACTGGCAAAGCTGGTGGCACATCATCTACAAATAAGAGAGGCACAGGACAACTAGATGGCTTGAAAACACCTCTTCTCCATTCAGTATTCTTCTCCTTTGAAATCCCCAACATTTTTTTGCTTTGACACTGCAGTGTGGTTCCACCTAAGTACACCCCATTTGAATCATACATAGCTTGTTGTTCTGTGCAAAGAACCAGCCTTTTTTTTGCTTCCTTTTGCTCTTGCTCAAGCTTTTCTTCTAGGTGCCTTGTCTCATCTTTTTCTTTCAGATGCAGAGATGACATCACTTTCATATTCCCATTAAAATCTTCTGATTCAGAGGTATAACTCTTTTTTACTTCATTCCGGCCCTGGCCTGTATATGTCCCAGTGTCACCATCTGTATCTTCACACTCAGAAAAACCAGCAGCCCGTGCCCCATTCCCAGGAGAGATCTGTGGAGAACCTTTGACCTTGCTCTGAAATGGACAACGAGGCACGTGGGGATGGACATCTTGAGGCCTCTCTCTGGCTTTTCTTTGAAATTCAGGGCTGTAGGGTTTGACATGTCCCCTCGTAACTTCTGGTGGTTTCTTGTAAGAAGCCAACTGTCAAATGCGTGAACAAATAAAATTGTGCCAGTGGAAAAAACACAGTCTAGAGCATCTTTTATGTAATACTTTAATCAATTTCAATCTAAACATAATACTAGAAATTAATTTTCATGTTTACTGTGTACATCCACACACAAACATATGTAATTGACAATAAACTAAAAGGGTTTTTTTCCATAAAAGAATAATATTGCTCTAAGAGTGGAGAACTGATGCTCTACTGGAAGATTTAATAGCCTACAAATAATGTAATTCATACTAAGAACCTGCCATCTCTTTATGAATTGCCTGTAATGTTTTTCTTGGAAAGAAAGAGACCTAAATATGAGAAAATAACCAAAAGTGAATCTGCTCTATTCTCCTGTGTGCATTTCTGTTGCATCATGTTGGAATTTACAGAAAGCACATGTGGCCATAATCCATTCTCTCCAACTGCTTTTATAATACTGCATACTCAGATAATGCAGGTTGGAATGAATGAAGCGACCCAGAAATAACTGTAAAATGTAAGATGGTAGTTTAAACAATTCAATTAGTTTTCTTTTATGATGATTTTTCTTTTGGTTAAGACTTAAATTTATTATTCCAAGCACTGAAATCTTCTGCTGTTGATAGTAACAAGAACAAGTGTCTACTTTACTAAGCCAAAAGACCAATTCTAGAGATTTTTTAAACTTTTTAGAAGTGGGTCATTTTATCTGCAATGCTGTGTGATTACTATTGGCTAGAATATTTAATGTCTGTTTCCACTCCTGTGCCAGACTCCCAAATTCATATGGGTATAGCCAATAATCAGACTTCTCAATTTCTAGACGCACAGGAAGGTAATAGTGACTACCCTCTACTTCACAGCTGTGTTTGATGATTGAAATGAACATTGGCCAGGCTCTCAGATAAAATGTGATAAACAACAATAAACACACAAACGCCTTCTTAAATTCTCTTGTAAGAGCAAGACAAAGGCTTTCAAGTACTGCACAATGAGTGGAAGCTGCAGCATGGTCTCACCTCTCCTTGTGAACAGCAACCAGACAGCACTGTGCTGCTCTGCTCTCGTGGGACATTTCCTTCCTGGCCCTATTGTCCCAGACCAGAATACAGCTGGCACCGTGGATGTGGAAGACTTGATTTTTTTTTTAATATAATGCAGAGCCTGAGGTCAAGCAATTCCAATCACTTCTGATCCAAGAGTAAGGACATCAGGCTAGGACACAGAGGACATGGCCTGGCTCCAAGTTGCAAGGGGGACTGACTGTGCTCTGCTTAGGACTGTTGGGCACTGCTGCTGCTGCATTGCCAAAAGCAGAAAATACAAAGAGTACCCTAAGCCTTGAAGTAAGATGAAGATGCTGTGAGAGGTATGGAGTCAAGTGCCTACTGCAAATTAGGAAAAGGCATCTTCTGCCCAATGGATGCAAGCAGTAAACATTAGAGATGGGCACACTAAGGGCTAAAGTACCACACTAAAATACCCCAGTTTCCAGTGCTAGGCTCCCCTGGCCAGCACTGTGTAAGTCTTTACTTGATGTCTTAATGTGGTTCTCAGATTTGCTCTGCCTCCCATCAGAGAGATTACATTTAAGTGACCTGGGAGTGATAAAGTCTTACCCCCTCACTGCTGACATACAGTTTTTGGCCAATATGCATCACATGAAGACCCACTTCCTGTCCAGACCTAGGAGATTGTGCACAGACCAACAGCCAGCTCCAGAGCACTGAGGATCAGAGAATTGGGGTTTGCTCTTTGGGATGAAACTGTGGCACAAAACAAATCTCAGTGGCAACTAAATCGTGTGCTGTGAGAGAAGGGCAAGTTGGAGATGCCTACATGTGGGCTGACATAACACATTTGTATCCAAACCTCAGGACAATCAAAGTCTTACTCACACAGGAAGAAAAAGTGACTTTGCCACATGATTTGGGAATGGTTATCTCAATCAGAGCATCAAAATATTTTCCCTGTGTATAACAAAAGTATAACTCCAACTTTAGTTGCTGACTGTGAGGACCGAAACTATCTGAAATCGCAGAGGACACTCAGCCTGCTGAGAGCAAACGTCCCAAGAGTAGTTAGGCTTGTGCTGCTCTGTTCAGTTCTCCTTCTTACCTGTGCTTGGGGGTGATCCTCTCCAAGACTGCTTTGACAGCTGGCTGAGCTGTCCTTCCAGCGTAGCCCAGGCTTCTTGTTAGACAGTAGAGGGAAATCTGCCAAAGACACACATTTTTACCTTTGTATTCATATTATTTTTGTCTTAAATAAAGTTCACAATTAAAGAACGACAGTAAAAAGTTAGAGTCATCTGGATACAGTTTTACCCTTAAGAGTTGACCTGTAGTAATCAAGTTTATAGCCTCTCTTGCATATGTGTGCACACTATACATAATACATGTTGACATTTTCAGCAACGAACCTGATTTTTTCTACTTTCTTTCTGAATGAAGTGAAACAGCTTTTCAGTAATGGGGAACTTTCTTATAAAAGTCAGCCCTCTTAAAAGAGCTTTCAGACATTCAAAACAGAGACAAAACAACCAGCTGCTTCTGAAGCCTTGGTTAGTTCTGAGAAACAAAGAAAAGTAGGTAGTTCTGAGAGGGATGGCCATCTGAACACAAAAGTCATGAGAAAGGCAATCACCTACAAGCAGTAAGGGCAGAAAAAATTCTTCAGTCTCTTAAGTCAGGCCAAAGAGCAGCATGTCGGCTCTTCTAGGATGAGGCAGAATAATTAACTGCCAAAGGTCTGGAACCTAAACTGTCACTGGAAGAAGAGGCAGGTAAGTAACTTGCATCTGGAGTCAGCAGATCTAATATTTGTGTGTGTGAGAAACAGACATAATAAATAGCCTTGGGATGACAGAAAAGTAAGCCTGAGCCAAGATAATCCCATTTCAAGTTTTGATGTGACAGGTATATTTATAGTTGAATTATTAACTCCAAAAACCCAGCTATTAGTTCCGAAACAAAGGCTCCCAGTGCAAACACTGGTTCTTCTATACAGAAATTAAAAGCTACAACAGGACAAAAACAACAGGACAAAAACAACACACAGAATACTGTTCCTGCATATGGACTTCAGAAAAGGAAAGCCAAGGAAAGAGCCCAGATTTCCTTTCCTCTTGGTGTTTTACCTGTATGTTCCCAATCTTGATGCAAGTTGTTAATGCTCAGTCAAGAAGTAAGAGAGATGGTGAGCTGGAGTTCATTAAAGCACTCCCATAGGGACCAGCAACAAGGAGCTGAACTGAGACAAATCCAGCTTTTGTCACCCAATTAAAAAGGGTACCACAGCTCTGATCTGCAGCCAGTCTTGCTATATCTTTTTGCAATGAGTTTTCTAGACAGGGGGATAGGGGAAAGAAAAAGAGGAAATAGACCTTTCAAATAATTCCAGATATTCAGAGCCCAGTAGTAGTGTTCTAAAAAACACCAACAAAACTTGGGCTCCTCCATTTTCACTTTCACAGAGTATCTCATCCTGCCCCAGTTCTTACTTTCCACTAACAACATGATTTCCTTTCCCTTCACCACATGTCCCAGGACATCTGCAGATCTGTGACCTTCCTGTCCCATTCAGCTCTGCAGCTGATGGAGATCTTCCTGCAGTTCCTAGGTTTGCCCTAGCCAGAGGATGTCCTCCCCTGGTCTCCCCAAGGCACTTGGTTGTGAGATTGGAGAAAGAAGCTGCACTCCAGCATGGCTTTTCCATTACCACATATAACAGAGGAAATAGCTTTTCTCCTTTCTGCAGCCCCAGGGCTCTGTGGGACAGCAGCATCTCCCATAGCAGCTCCTGCAGAGGTGAATGACAGGGCCTGTACATGTGAGAGCATCACTTCACACAACGTCCTAGCTCATTGTGCAGAGATAATTGAGTTATTCCCAGTGACATGCTGAACCTACATTTGCAGCTTAACATTCAAAACATGATTTAAAAAAAATAAATCAGTCTCCAGGGCATTACAAAAATCTGCTTGGCACAGAGGCTCCTCACTGTGACCAAGATAACAAATGAGAGTGCAGCACTGTCTATGGATGCAAGACGGGGATTACAGATTCTGAAAGGTAATATCCTGTCCTGAATCTTTGGCCAATATAGAAATGACACCAATTTCCTTTCCTTGGCGGCATACCTCATGCTGTTTATGAAACATATGTGTTTTGGGAAGTAAGTCTGAAAAAGAGACAGGTTTCTCTTTAATGTGACTGATGATCATATGAATTGTTGTAACTAAATATTAAGTGGATTAAATATAGAAACTATGACTTACAGTGTTCCCCCAGAGAGTAAAAATTGCCTTTATTCTGTTCCCAGTATATGCGGAATGTACTTTACACCTCATTTTAAAAGCATACTGGAAGTTCAGACAAATTCATGTAGTTTGTAGCCTTCCTCTCAAAGACTTCTGGCTCCCCCTAGAGTCCTTCGGAGGCACAAGATGTTTTAATAAGACAACAATAAGACAAAAAAAAATTGGCAAAAAAACCCAACCCAAAGTAATACAGTTATTGACAAGCTGAAAATGAATCAAAATTAATGAATGAATCACTCTCAGAGAGCAAGTCCTTCCCCGTGCCTCAGGGTGCTGTTAATCCCAGGGAACACAGCCCATCCTGTTTTTTCTGTTTGTCCTTTTGCCACAGCTGCCTCTCTGAGGACAGCCTGTTTGGAGGGATGTTGAGCTTGGTGAGAGTATCTTCTTCAGATCAGTTCCCTGAGCCATCTGCTGAGACTTAGTGAGTTATTCCAGACATGTGGCACCAGAAAGGACCACGAGGTCTGTAGTGGCAGCATTTATGTGCAGCTGAAGATATCAGACATTATTATGAAGCTGGTGCCAGGACACGAGAGATGTATCTTTTTTGTTTGTTTGGTTGTTTTTTTTAGGCATAAAGTTCTTCCCACAATGGCAGTTCAGGTTGTCAGTGCTCCAGTCTAACAGACAGAATTGTTTTAGGAGATGTTGGTAAATGCACCCAGCTCCCATGCCAGTATCAGCAGTCCTGCAGGGAGAAGAGCTGCACTGAGGCGGCTGGCTGGCCCTGCTACAAGCAGTGGTGGTTTGACTGGGGAGGGCTGGGCAGCCCAGAAGGAAGATTGCTTAGACATAGCCCTGGATGCAAGGAATGACCGCCTTGAGATTCAGAGGTGAACTGCAGACAGACCTGATTGCTACTGAACTCAGCACGTTCCTGTTTGAGTGCCATGGGCAGAGAAGGTTCAGCCCAAATCACACAGAACTGTCAGAAGAGAACCAGTAACGCTGGTTTCTTAATTATCTGGGTGCTACAGTGGTAAATGAATAGGAGATGTAATATGAATTAGACATGGAGAAATAAATGCTGTGTGGCTTCCCTTATTAGTCATAAAGACAGAAGCAATCAAACAAAAGGAGAATTTGATCTTTTCAGGACAAGAAAGTGGAAATAAAATATTTGTTGAGTTTTAGTCTAGCCTCCTCACCTCGCAACTCCAATTCACAATTTCTAAAGGAAAAGAGATGAGGAAACAGACATTTACAAGGAAGGATACAGGATGCAGTGCAAGTAAGAAGCAATTGCTTCGTAGGCTGTACTTACTCGTTTGGATTTTTCTCCTCCAACTCTGATACTTATTTAAGGCAGTGGAGTGGAAGCTGTTGGCTCTCTGTAGCACTGAACAGAAGCAGAAAAGAGACATCAGCTCACCCCAGCACGGGGTCGGCCGGGAGGGGGCACTGCGGGGCTGGAAAGGGCCGCGGTGCGCGGGGCCACGGGGTTTCTGCCCTCGAAACAAGGCCTCCTTATTCAGGAGTCAATTTAAAATGCCATGCAAAATCCCCCTATTTGGTTCACTTAAAAATGCACATACGGGGGTGGTGGAAGGCGGGAAGGAATGAATGCTGATGGCTGTTTACTGCAGTAAAAATCATTTTCCAACTCTTCCATCGCAGCAGAAGGCTCGTCACGCAAAGCAGGAAGCCTTTGAGGGCTGCCCAAAGCCCTGGACAAGTCCAAGGACCTGGATGCTTGAGCACCACATGCACCTCTGGTATAAAAACTCACCATGGATGCTGAGAACACTGGTGTTTAACGTAACTCTTTCATTTTAAACACACAGTGAAGTCAGAATCACCACTGCTCAGGAACGTGTCATACCTGACATAAAAGTTGTTTTCAAAATAGCCTTTTCCACGTGGAGAAGAGCAATAACAACAAATGCAATTAACAAGCATCAAGTTTCTCAGGATCCCAGTCATGAGCTATCAGTGCATGGGATGAGCTGACAATATGGACATAAGGTGAAGGCACTGGAGGGAGGTCCCCCAAACCAGTTCCCCTGGCTACACCTGTATATGCTGACTGGAGAGCTGCTCCCCTGCTCCACCCGCACACTGCACCAGCACAGCCGCCCTTGCCCCAAAGTGCCGGACAGCCTGAGGGCAGGCCTGTGCCCATGGACTACTGCTGCCAACTCAGGAGGGTGCGCAGTCACTTCTGGCAGAGCTCTGGAGACACTTTCTGAGGCAGCAGGTTCTCCACAGATCCGACACATCATCACAAGGCCCTAAAACATGGCAGTCCTTGCCACGGAGGCCCGAACTCTGGCTCCAGGAAGGAGTTTTCCCCTGGAAGCAGACTGCCCCTAAAACTCTCAGTTGCCCCCCACCAGTTCTATCCTTTCCCTCAGTGTGCTTTCTGTGGACATAAATAGTCCAAGCAGCTATATATAAATATAAATGAACCAAACAGAGCAGAGCTCTCCACTGCTTCCAAAAATTGCCCTTGCTTAGTTAATGTCACAGGTATGGCGTAGGCTGCTAAAAACACCCCAAGGTCTTAGCAGACGGACAGTGCTCACCACCCCACAGGCTGGGAGTGAGGTGCTACTGCCTCAGGTGTCCCAGAAGCACTGTGTTTGTTAGTGCCTTGCAGCAAACTGTATGTGTTTGGGTGCAACTCAACCAAAAGAAATGTTATGATTCAACCAATGAGTAAAAAAGAAAGGAATGTGCAGAACGGGGCACCCAAAAGGCGTAAATCCTCCAAAGTGAAGACATCATTTAAGAATACAACCTGGCCACATCACTGGCAGCAGCTTCTCCTTGACAATCTCTCCCTTCAACCCTGATTTCAGCTCCCCAGGTGTGGGAGATGCCACTTACCATCAATGACTTTGGATGCCCTGTGGCTTTCCTCTGGTGCCATGGGGCTCCTGGCAAGCAATGTCCAGCGGCGCGGGGGGCTTGGGCAGGCAGGGGGCTCCAGCAACGAGGTCTGTCCTTCACTCACCTCAGAGCTGGAGGAGTTGCCATTAAAATCAGATTCCCCCTCAGAGCTAGGGAGAAGAGGAAAGAAAGAAAGAGAGAGGGGCAGTTCAGAAGACACACTGAATGCAGGTGTTCATTTCCCCTTCGGTGCAACATGCACCAGCATCAGCACTGACAACTGTGTGGCCTATAGAGAAATAGAGGTTTTGCAGTCAGAGCTGGCATCTTAATTTTGCATTTTTTGTTGTTATTACTGCAGCCCTGTAGTTTACTGTAGATGCAACACAGCTGACAAATCCACGCTCCTGCAATATCTCTGCTATCCAGATTCAGACCCAGGATTGCTGTGTTCAGCAAAGAACCTGGAATTCACCTGCTGCAGACAGCCTTGGCTTCAGTACATCAGTTAGCAGTGGGACAGTGCAGCAAGTGCAAGGAGTGGCCAGAGGTGAACATAATTAAAAGTATGCCACACAAACACCCAGAGTGACACACACATTGTGACCTTGCCTCTGGGCGGGAGAATGACCTTTGCAGTCAATTATTAGTCTTTTTTTTCCCCAGTAATTAGAGAATTTCTTTAATCTCAAAACCAAATTGTAGGGAGTGTGCACTTTCAGGCCTTTTGATGTTGCCACAATCCCACCACCACAAATAAGTGTGCCACCATGCAATTCAGCCTATTTTTAATGAAAACAATGCTGCTAAGTTAATTCTTAGATTTATTGTGATGACTAGTAGTTCCACTTGAAAAAGAAGAGCTCATGCCCTCTTATGTTAGCATGATGGGAGAAAGCTGTTTCATATTTATGTAGCATTCACTGCCTTGTAGAAAGCAAAGATTAATTACAACAGCCCCAGGACAGAGCCCACACAACAAAGGAAGACGTGCTAAAGGAGGGGCTGTGGATGGAACAAAACCTCTGTGGTTGGCTCAGGCTGGGCAGCAATTTCTGATAACTTGAGACTGTGTCACTCATGACCAGTTCAGATATTGGCTGCAGACAGTCTGAAGCTGACGTATACATGGTATACATAGCAGCCAGCCCCGTACACCTGCTTCACCCAGATCCAACTGGCACAGCGAGAGCTGAAGGGTTAGCAAGTTCCCTGTGATGGTTATACTATATACACTTAAATACATCCTATACTTATATATATGCACACACTTCTTCATATATGTAAGTCTTTGATAGTTGAGATTGCAAGATTCTACACTGAGATTGGGCAGAGCACCACACAAAAGAAAAAGACATACAATGAAGGCTGATAGGTACATTTCTATTTTAAAGTGCAAAACATCTATTTCCCTTGGCTGGCAATGTCATAAGTGCAGTAGAATGAGGCTTGTCCTTTGAGCTCTGCTTGATAGCCAGTCATTATCCACAAACACTAAAGCTTGAACTGAAAGCTGTTTGACCAAGCCAGTCATTTTTCTGGCTACATGCTCTGTCAGACCTTGCAATGCCATTTGTCACTTGCTATTTCATTCGCCCGGCCTTTTTAGGCAATGGCTCGCTGGCTGGAGCAGTAAGAGCACATGGTCACTGAAGGCAATGCAGGAGACTGATCTCAGGGGTTCTGACACACACCGTTCCAGTGACAAGAGCAGTGTCACCCTGGACAGGAACCAGGGGCCTCTCTGCAAACACAGGACTGTCACAGCTGGAGGAAAAGGAGCTGATCCCTCAGATCAGGGAGATTAGCTGGCTCCCCTCTCTGCGTGCTGCTCATGTGTGAGACACAAACCGCCTCAGGATATTAACGCGGACACGAACAGACATGCTGCAGCAAGATCTGTCCAATAGGCAGAAAACTCTACCCTGAGCTCTCATTTCCCTGTGGGGAGACACCAGCAGAGATTAATCCTGTTCCTGAAGAACAACCTGATGTGCAGCAAAGCACAAATATTTCAAACTCCCACATAGAACAGAAGAAAGCTTCATTTTTAAAGAAGTTGTCCTCAACAACCTATACACACTACCATGAGTGAATGTTTAAAGGTTTTCAAGATTTGGAGCCATTTTCCTTACAGAGTAATGGCTCTGTTTGCAACTCAAATAGCGTTGGGTTTGCTTTGCTGTTTTTTTTTCTTTAATTGTTGGTAAGGAAAACTACTTTACTTGGAAGATACCAATCTAACCTTTACTATAACAAAGTGAACTCCCACAGAATCTTGTCCAGAATGCCAATGTATCACTGTTCTTAAATAGAAATCAGACTTCCTTTGACAGCTCTTGGAAAGCAGTCAGATTTCAGATGTCTTAGAGGTGGGCAGGCCAACAAATACCCAGAGAGGTACTGAGGCTGCAGCCTTGTGGTACAGAGGTAGCAGGAGACTGTGTTTGCAGGATATACCTTTGCCACAGCACATCCTGATCTCTGAAGATTTTGGAAAAAAAAATAGCTGAACCCGAGATGATTGGGGTAATGTTTTTCTCTCTGACTCAGGCCCTTGTGTGGGATGCAAATGTTTGAATACTTCCTGCAAAGTGAGTCATATGTCTGGTGGGATTTATGGCTGTGGTAAAGAACAATTGTTTTTCTGAGAAGTTTTTCTGTTTTCTCTTTTTTTCCTCTCCTTGCTGCTTTTTTTTTTTTTTATTTAAGATACACTGTATGTACATTTGGTACCTTGTTTAGCTATATCTTTCCAGAGAAAACCAGTCTTTTTTTAAATTATTTCTATTTTTTTTAAGGTCTACTTATGTTTTCAAGTACCTGCTTGCATCACTGGTGACCATGACTCGAACAGCAAGGAGGTTGTGCTCCGTCATTTCCTCCTCAGGGATGACCCTTACAGTGGCCCACTCAGGGTCAGTGGATGAGAACCAGCTTTCCACATTGAGGTGCTCCAGGATGCTCTTTGCCTTCTTTGGGGAGGTAGGCTCAACAGCCGTGGGCTGGCAGAAGCCTAGAAGAGCCAAAAAGGTAACAGCAGGGTGTTAGGAGTCAGCTGGAATCAGGGACCTCAAGCTCTGCTTTGGGTGGCCTTTGGACACTGGCAGTGGTTGCTGGGAATGCTGGCAGCCCTGTGCACTGAGACCAGTCTGCCAGGCTGTGTGCTAGTCCTGACAGGGTTCTCCAGTTAGTACACAAAGAGATGGAATCTGCAGGGCAGCCTTAGTTTTTGCAGCTGCAGGCTCTTAGCTCCATTTGGTGGCGCTGCCATCAGGCTGGATGCCTGGGTAGCAGTACCAAAGACACATACCATCTGCATGAGCAGGAGCATGCAGTCTTTTATCAGACCACTGGTGTGTGTAAGGCTCTTCAGAAAGTTGTTTTTGAGTGCATGCAGAAAAACTAAGCACTGATTTGGTAAAAGACAAAATGTGGCAGCAGTTAAGCAGCATGACCCCTGAACTTTGAGCTCAGGCAGAAGGAACAAAAAACAAAGACAAGTTTTCTTAGCTTATCCCCTGTAAAGCAGATGGAGCCAAAGACAGGGAGTGATCTTTCCCTGTGAAAACCTTCATTTCTGAGCAACCTCACCCATCCACAGCCTCCTGCACAGCAAATACAAACATACCAGCCCAGCAAATTTCCCTGTGGCCCAGGAGGCACAAATGACATTCTCAAGGAGGGTGGTTTTGCTCCTTCATCTTGCATGCATGATGCTTTTGCCACAATTAATTTAACATTAATTTCTAACTTACATCTGCATAAATGGAGGCAAAACAAAAACCAAACCAAAACACATCTGGGGTGTGGTTTGTCCTCTCATCTATGAAAGAAAAGTTTGCAGTAAACACCTATAAAACTTCTCATTAACTTGCAGCTCCTTCATACACTACAGGATCTCACTCAGTCTAGTCCTTGCAAGGGCTTTTGACTCCAATATGCAGTACTTGCACAGCAAACAAGCCAGGAAAATCATGCCATGAGCAAGCTCTCACAGCAGATGCCCTGAGAGATGACCTGCACTGCAGCCCCACTGCTTGCCCACAGGCAGCTTGGAGTGGCACTTCCCATCTGTCATCATGTGGCTCTCCCCAGCTCGTGCTGCAGGTACACGTCCTAAACATCACCCCCACTGTGACTCCTGAATGTGAAAACTTTAGGTTAACTAGTCCATCTGTAATAGCCCACAGCTCCTCCAGATTTTATGACAAATGATGACAGAGCTAGTGGAAGACCTCAGCCTATCACCGAGGCCATGCTGTGTTTCAGCTGCAGCCACATCCATTTAGGGAGCTGCATTTCTCTGCTTCTCCTTAAGGTATTTGTGGTACTCTTCTTTTTTAATTGTGCAGTAGAAGCCAACTTTCTCAGGAATCTGCTAGATAAGCAGATCTGAAAGAGATCAACTAGCATTCATAGTTGAATTAATCACAGCCAACTAACTAATGCTGAACTAAGTTCAGCATTCTGCCTTAAGAAGCAAAACCACTCCTTACTGATTTACTTAGTCAATATTTGCACTGTGACATATAAAGCTGAATAAAGTACACTGCACTCAATTCCACAAAAGTGGAAAAAGCTGAGCTACATCCATGCTTCTGCACATGGCAGACATTTGTATTAACCCCAGTGCTGGGTTACCAACTCCACCGACATTTAAAGAGATGCTGTTCTGCAGAGCAGGACCACCTCCTAGGTAACCAGCTTGTACTGAAGACAGAGGTGCCCAAGATGCCAGGAGTCAAGGATTTTGTAGGCTTTGATGACGCCACTCAGTATTACCAGCCTATCCTAAAAGGCAGCATTGGCAGCAGGCCTCAAGCCCTGCAGTGATGAAACGCAGCCCAATGGAGCACTTTGGGCTCTTGCATAGGGTAGGCTTCAGTCCTGGAGAACAAAGGGAAACAGAGCAGAGCAACGAGCCACTGGTGGGTTTGTGTAAACACCACTCAGAGAGAGCAGTGGCCAACTCAAACAAAAGCCTGGACACCGCACAGACCTGAACCCACCTGTTAATTATTACCTGCACTACCACAGCAATGCAAACAAATCAAACAGGCCATCTGCAGGGAAACTGCCATTGGCTTTTGTTGCCGTTAGTTTTAAAAGAGCGCCAGAGAAAAGATAAAAATGATCTGAGACAAATAAGAAATTTAACAATACAGCTGAGTTTTCTTTAAAGTGCTTTTCTTAAAGTGCCTTGCAGCTCACTGTGCACTAACTGCACCCTGGGCCATGCTGTGACAGTGGCAGCCATAGTAATGCTGCACAGGAGTACACAACTTTTTGGAAGCCTGACTGTGAGCAGGCTCTGAGCTTCAGTGCCCTGGCTGCCATCACTGAGAGTCAGGGCATTTCCAGTCACTACTGCCATCAGCTCAGGACGTGTACCCCACAGGCTGACAGACCAGCCCTCATGGAGGTGCAGAAAGAGCCCTGTGGGATCCTTGAGTTGTTGGGCACTTCTTGGCACCCCTTCTGCTCTGGGAAAACCCAAACTTTTGTGGAAGAATTGAGGTGGACATTTAGCTCCTAAGTTCAAGGTGGCAACACCAACATAAAGCCCCCGGGTATCTAAGTTTTCTAGTGCTTAGGTCCTCTCAGAAGTCCATGCATGCCTGTATATGCCACGCTATCCCACTTCTTCACTAGAAGAGAGGAAAAATGGCCTTACTGCTGTTCTCAGATGCGAAGCGGCACACAGGTGCACTAAGCCCCATGCCTGGGGCAGCCAGCAGGACCCCGCAGCCTGCAGGGCCTGTAGCTCCCACTAGAGTCATGTTTCCTCCCCAGGACAAGAGATTTTCCACTGGCAGGGTCACTAAGAGACTGACAGTTGGAGGAAATGGATCTTACAAGACAAACATACACAACGCAAAGCAAAACGGGTGTCCAGTCTCAATGGAAAAGCACACAGAGGCACACAGTCTCTGCTTTCCTGCCAATGTAAACTAGTGCTGTGCCATTGACACCCATGGGCAACTCCACATATTATCCAAAGAGAGACAAGTCGTCATCAAATAGACTCAAAATAGCATTCACATCAAATGTTACTTCACTGCCATCACACTTACTGAAGATTTCCTACCATCCTTCCTACTGTCTTATGTTTCATCATGCTAAAGCTCTCCAGCAGTTCCCTGCTGGAGCATGCGTTTCCTGCAGTCATACTTCAGGCTGAAGCCCTTACTAATCCTTTGCCAAAACGTTTAAATAATATACCCGGGGTGGGGATTATGTACAAGCCATGCATGTGGAAGGTGTTAATCTTGTGGCAGTAGACAACAAATCAAACGTGTCACATGCTTGAGGCTGCAAGGGACATACAAGACACACTGCAAACACTGCTTACTGCGTTGCTGCCCAGTTAATAGTGGGAATGTACTACTGGCACAAGTTAGAGAATTACAGGCAGTCAGATTTCCTAAACTATTCAGTACAAGCAAGCTAAGGAGCTAACGTGTTAATTTCCAGACTCTCCCATGTTCTTTGGCATGATTCTGTGGAGTGCAGGTTAGGGTGCAAGCAGGGCAGTGCTCCCAGCTCTGCTCAGCAAGCGGCGTGGGTGCTCTGCAGCCAGCATGGCTAGGTGCTTGGGCTGTTCGAGGAATTCACACAGTGATCACTTGCTGCCTGAAGGTCTGATAGGATTGAGAGAATTTAAGCTTTCCATTCATTCCTTGAGTTGCTGCCAATCTCCTCACTTTGCTGTTGTCCAAACTGGCTGCAGGAGATGCTCCCCAGCAGTTGCTCTGTCCCAGTCACTGTGATACTAACAGAGCTTTGGTATTGCTGAATATCAGAGGCAAGGGTCATCTTGGTGCCTTGACATCCAGTGGCATAGAGGGATCTGGCCCAAAGTAAACATTTGGAAGGCTTTAGTGGCCACAGCAATGAGAGCAGCTCTGTGATACAGTTGAAACAAGCCGCCTCGCACTTCCTTTTTTAGGCAGTGTAAAGACACTGTATGCCACAAACCAAGAGCACAGCCAGGGTTGGCTGAAGCACTCAGGCTAGTGGCTGCAATTTGCCATCAGCCCACAACAAACACAGCATATGGGCCTGTTCTCTTCTTCCTACTGATCAGAGGGAACAGACCTCTGGTGCTGTGGACAGCCATCTGCTGGCAAACACTACCTACTCAGGCAAAGGCTGGAGTTTGGTTTGCTTGCTTCCAGTGTTAGACTGGAAACAGCAGGACAGAAAAGACGTTCATTTTCCCACTTCAGGAAAAACCAGATACTATGATTTAGATTCAGGTCTTCAGTTACAAGAGTTCCCACAGAAAACACAAAAAACTACTTCAGGGGAATTTTTCAAAAAGATAAGAAGCCCAGATCCTACCCAGCTGAGGAAGTCATGTATTTTAACCTCTATTTTTTGTTGCCCATGTTCATAATAGCAATCCTCTTTTCCATGCTCCTCCATGGCCACTAGCACAAAGAACAACTGGAGGCTTTGGAAAGTAGTTCTTAACACTAAGTTACAGCTACAAATAACAGTGCACTGATCTAAAGTTCTTTCAAATTTGTAATGCATTTTACAGTGCAGAACAGCACTCAAGACGCAGGTATATTCACTTCAGCAGATAATATAAACCATGCTCAGAGGTGGCCAATTTCAGTGGCATCGTGTTCTGGGAGCAACAGCATCTCCACACAGTCTCTGCTGTTGGTCTTCGCAGCACAAGAACCTCTCCTCAGCCCAAGCCTTCCTGAGTGGAGTCCTCGACTGACTTGTGCTGAGAGTAAACACTGTGGTTTTGAAGTTGTTTTTTCTTTTTTCTTTCTTTCTTTTTTTTTTTTTTAAATACAAATGGTGGAGATTAGCTCCAGTTATATAAATAATAGTAACACAGTCAGCAACTGCAACAGAACAATTCTGCATTCATACGACCCTCCCACTCCAACAGGATGAAAAATTTGGATAAACAATTTCTCCTTTGTCTGCATTTCAAAACCTATCTCACCATCCCCTCACTGGGAGTGAAACAACTGTTTTCCTTACAGCAAA